TTATGTACGAACGCAAAAGCTGAAGGTAGTCCTGATTTTTCGAGCCTTTGAACAGTGGCGTGGGGTTTTGTAGTGTCTGAGAATAAAGAGGCACTGCAGACAAGAAGACTGTGTCCTCGGTGTTGCTTGCCCACCCCCGTAAGATGTGGAGACACACTTCATTGAAAACCTACGTGATTTACTAAGACGGGGGTTTCTGCAGAACCCCGTAGGGGGCTGTGCAGAGAATACAGGTCGACATCAAGCCTTCAGAATTCACAGGTACCATTCGACAAGAATGCTGTAGCTGGACTTGAAACAAGCCGACGTGGGGAAAGTACGGAAGCCGAGAAAACAAATGTGTCGGCCAAGCCGTAGCAAGGACGTCCCAGCACGACTGCGGACAGCGTTATCCTGGCTGTGCAAAGTGGACGTCCCTCGGAGACAAAAGGCAGACTTTTGGTATTCCGCAGTAACCATGCCTGCGTTAAAATTTTGGCCGTCAAGGGAAAAGGGACGTAGCTTGAGGGTTCCAACTGAACAGGTAGCAAGCTAGAAGGTTACTCGTGCTTCAGTTTCATTTATTTCATTTCATTTATTTTTCCCTCAGGGCCCGAGGGCATTACAGAGGGGAGTGGGTTACATAATATAAGCTCATCTTGCGCCAGAAAGTGCACAAGGGGACGAAATAGAAAGTGTCGGGCCAGTTGTACTGTAGGGGCATGTTTGTTTGTTTGTTTGTTTATTGGAACTTTTGACAATACAGGATTGTCATGGTGCTGAGGCAAAAGGTGACAGTAAGTCACCTGACCAGGCCCCTAGCACCAGACTACACTTGCAGCAGATGCAGCAGATGCAGCAGGCAGACTAGTGGTAGAGTGCTATAGTTAACCATAAACAAAAACAAAAAATACGCAGTAACTAGATCACTACACTACATACGCTCTTGCAATGAAAAATAAATAATTCGCAACATGCAACAAAAATATATGAACTACATTACTACAATTACATCTGTACACATAATTTAGAAGACCACAGTATTATGCGGAAAGTAAAAAATATTGTTTTTGATTTTTTTCTGAAAGTCAAGAGGTTTGAATTATGATCGATTATATCGATCAAGCCAGGGTGGAGGTTGAGAAGATTGGGAATCTGCCAATATAGTAATTGCGTACCGTAATTTGTTCTGGTTCTGATTTTTATAAAGTTTGTATTTCTAAAATTGTAGTGTGTATCAGTATTCGTATATGTAGAAAGGAATAATTCACGGTCAGTTTTAACTTGGGAGTATATAACCTCAGACAATCGTTGATTATACAGTGCCTCAATATTCAGGATACGATGTTTCTCAAAGTATTGGAATGTATGATCGCGGCTTGATAGGTTTTCAATAAATCGTATACTTTTTTCTGCATTAAGTACAAACTAGTCATATTACATTTAGATGTAACCCCCCAGACAAGTAAACAATAGTGCAGTCGAGAATGAACAGTAGTGAAATAGAGCTGACGTTTTAGCCACATTGGTAATAAGGCACGAAATCTATTCAGCATGCCAATAGACTGTGCGATGTCACGCTTCACAAAATTCACATGACATGTCCAGCGAAGGTTTTCATGAAAATGTATGCCTAAGAATTTGTATTCGGTAACCCTTTCTAGTGACCGTGACTGGAATACTATTTCGGTAGTAAGGTTAACTGGTCTGTTAATTGAGGAAAAAACAATATATTTTGTTTTGTTAACATTTAGAAGCAGCTGATTCGCATCAAGCCACTTCGATAAGTTTTTGAGCCATGCGTTTGTGACAGGAATAAGAGATGATAGGTCCCTGGATGAAAAAAAAACACTCGTGTCATCGGCGTAAAGTACTATGTCTGGCGTATGGGGGATAGCAACAATGTCATTGATATAAAGAAGGAATAGTATAGGTCCTAATATTGATCCTTGCGGAACACCAAATTTTATATGTTCAGTGTCCGATTCTATACTATTAGCTACCACAAACTGGCTACGATTTGTCAGATAACTGCGCAATAGTTTAAGTGAAATGCCTCTAATTCCGTAGTGTGGCAGTTTATCAAAGAGAATATTATGCTTGATAGAGTCAAAAGCTTTATTGAAATCTACGAAGATGCCTATAGTGTAGGATTGATTTTCTATATTGCTGATAAGTTTTCCTCGAATGTTAAGTAAAGCTGACTCAGTGGATTTACCTCTCTGAAATCCATATTGGTTTGCAGAAATTAGTCGGTATTTATGAAGATGATTAATTATTCTAGATGTCTACAAAAAGCTCTGTAGGGTTGTGTGGAGGCCCTCTTGCAGCACAGATGTGTATTTGTCCTCACCGTCTCTGGAAAAGACGACCATAACACAGAATGAACGTCCCTCGGAGACAAAAGGCAGACTTTTTGTATTCCGCAGTAACCATGCCTGCGTTCAAATCTTGGCCGTCAAGGGAAAAGGGACGTAGCTTGAGGGTTCAAACTGAACAGATAGCAACCTAGAAGGTTACTCGTGCTTCACTTTAGCTCATCTTGCGCCAGAAAGTGCAGAAGGGGACAAAATAGAAAGTGTCGGGCCAGTTGTACTGTAGGGGCATGTCTACAAAAAGCTCTGTAGGGTTGTGTGGAGGCCCTCTTGCAGCACATATGTGTATTTGTCCTCACCGTCTCTGGAAAAGACGACCATAACACAGAATGAACGTCCCTCGGAGACAAAAGGCAGACTTTTGGTATCCCGCAGTAACCATGCCTGCGTTCAAATTTTGGCCGTCAAGGGAAAAGGGACGTAGCTTGAGGGTTCAAACTGCTCAGATAGCAACCTAGAAGGTTACGCATGCTTCAGTCGAGCTCATCCTGCACCAGAAAAAGCACAAGGGGGGAATATAGGAGTGTGGGAGCGGTTGTACTGTGGCGGCATGTCTAGAAAAAGCTCAAAAGTGATTTGTGGAGTCCCTCTTGCGGCGCAGACCTGTATTTGTCCTCACCGTCTCTGGGAAAGACCACCCTAACAAAAGAATGGACGTGAAACTGAGGCAAAGGGCGTAGTTTTGCTTCGAGGTAGAAACAGCGCCTGCGTTCAGATGTTGGCCGTCAAGTGAAAACGGACTTAGCTTGAGGGTTCAAACTGAACAGGTAGCAAGCTAGAAGGTTACTCATGCTTCAGTCGAGCTCATCTTGCACCAGAAAAAGCACAAGGGGGGAAAATAAAGAGTGTGGGGCCAGTTGTACTCTAGGGGCATGTATACAAAAAGCTCTGCAGGAACAAACCTTTTCCCGAGGTGGACAGCAGGGGCCTGAAGACATAAATAAAAAAGAAGTGACACATTTAACGAGTCTTCACTGCGCCAGAAAAACAAGAATCAGCTCATTTCTTTTTGAGACCTCAGTCTTTATTAGGCCAAGAATACAATTTTTCAGACGAGCTGTCTCAATGTAAAAACACACTTCCTTATTAGTACCCTTTTGACACACAAACAGTACTACCTGGTGCGAGACCCTTCCCCAACAATTTGATAGTTGTACGTACCTATAATGGTTTTCTAATTACGAGCGAGCGGCAGCTCTTTGAAGTCTTGCTCGCGCTCTGGTGAGCCTTCAAACGACCAGCCGCTCCGCCGAGCGCGCGCCGCACGAGATGAATGAATTAAAATAATCTCGCGCGCATAGCGAACGTTCCTTTTACCCGAGGGAGCGCTTCAGAAGAAAAAAGCAAATTGTGGTAGCAAATGATGAAGCGGTGAGCAATATCGAACCTGAAAATGACTGCTTTCGTGCGGGAAGTCGCATCAGTGCTCGTACAGTAACCTATCGACTCGATCAGAGGCAAACTACAGTCGTCGGGTCTTCTACGAAACGCCTGCTCACGTTTGACACCAACATCGCGTCTCGGAAACGAAAATTCAGCCTCGGAGGTCCGAACACAGGTTCGGAAATTAGAATTGGCCGCCATGACCATGCCCACGGTAAAAGCGTCGTAGCTTCGCGAAAGCTTTTATTTCACACGTTCAAAGTGGTGTCCATAGAGTCTAGAAAGAACAAGGAACACATCGGTGCTAGCGGCGATGAGATACGACCAGTATTAATGAAGGAAGTGTCTATTCTGCCGGCAGCCGGCAGAATAACCGGAGGGGGAAAAAGTGCCGGCAGTAGTCGCCTATTGGGTCTCGTATAAAACGGATTGTAAACACGCCTATTCCGAGCTGTGGATTAGCTCAGTGGGTAAGATGTGCGCTTCGTACACAGCAGGATCTTAGTTCAATCCCCCGAGAAAATTTGTTTTTTTTTTTCTTCGGACTTTTGTTTTTTGTTGAGGTATTAGGCGATACTTACGGCATCCCTCTTTTAGAATTAACACTACAAAAAGAACGCGCAAAAAAAAAAAAAAACAGAAAAAACACCAGAAATCAGCCGAGTTCTCCGAGCGGTTTTACGATAAAACAACTTTTGCGTTTGCTATCTCGAAGAAATTTGACACACAAACAGTCCTACCTGGTGCGAGACCCTTCCCCAACAATTTGATAGTTGTACGTACCTATAATGGTTTTCTAATTACGAGCGAGCGGCAGCTCTTTGAAGTCTTGCTCGCGCTCTGGTGAGCCTTCAAAGGACCAGCCGCTCCGGCGAAGGCGCGCGCCGCACGAGATGAATGAATTAAAATAATCGCGCGCGCATAGCGAACGTTCCTTTTACCCGAGGGAGCGCTTCAGAACAAAAAAGCAAATTGTGGTAGCAAATGATGAAGCCGTGAGCAATATCGAACACGAAAATGACTGCTTTCGTGCGGGAAGTCGCATCAGTGCTCCTACAGTAAACTATCGACTCGATCCGAGGCAAACTACAGTCGTCGGGTCTTCTACGGAACGCGTGCTCACGTTTGACACCAACATCGCGGCTCGGAAACGAAAATTCAGCCTCGGAGGTCCGAACACAGGCTCGGAAAGTACAATAGACCATTTGCAGTCTCTCCCAAGCGCCCCGGCGCGCGCGCGAGGAATCTTGGGATCGGTGTTCTGTCGGCCCCCGTCGTCTGGCTGCTCTCCGTTGGAATCGCATCACCTCGCCCTAGACATACTTTTCATCTTCGTTGTTTATACTTAATAATCCTCTTTTTTATCTACTCCAGTGTATTTTTCTTGTTCATAAGTGTATCTATTTCGTTCAGCGCTTTGTATTTCTTCTGTATATTACGTGTTTTTGTGCATATTCCATCGTTTTCGACGCGGCCGTCGACGGACACCACGCCGCTTCGTTCGCCGCTCCCGGGGTGAGTACTGACTGTTGCCGTTACGCTCTATCCCGCTCCTAGGCCGTTCATTTAACTCGTGTGCGGTCGCGAGAGAGCAGTTTCGAACATCACTACAAATGTCACCGCTGTAAGCAGAGAAATAAAGTAGTCATCACGAAGCGAAGGCCGACATGCCTTCGCTTCGTGATGCGCTCGCCCTGTGAAATGTGAGCGTGGGATATCGAGTACTGCTTGCTTGCTCAACATTCGGGACGGTGCTTTGTCGTTGCGATCTTTTTGCCCTTCGGACGCTTGCGAAGCTGTACCAGCGGTCGGCGTGCCTCGGCAGCGCTCGTCAACAACCGTCCGCGCAGCATCACATCCTTCGCGTTCGGTTCTTCGTCGCGGCGGGAGAAGGGGTTCTGACTGCGTTTTATGCATAGTATGGGGGAGATTCCATTGTTTATCGAAATTACAGTTCAGCTAGCGCGCTCACTGTGGTGAGGCAAGATTGCCCCTGCGAACCGCGCTAACACAGCGTCCCGCGAGTGCATATCTTTATTGATCATCCCGTTTTCACGCAAGCGCGTGCATATGAAATGCTAGACACTTTTTAGTGGCTCTGCGAACTGCTTCTTTTGGACGAACACTGACGCATTGAAAGCTGGAGTGTCTTTGCCACTCCTGTACAACACTTCACGGTCGTGCCAGCAGCTTTATGCTGCTGGCACGAAACGGATTATGGTCAAAACGCGTTCTTCGTATTCAGAGCTGCACTATATCATGGACACTGACAGGGCAGCAGCAACAAGCAGCTCAGTGACACTGGAGATGCTTGTCCCCAATGCCAGTGCGTGGCTTGCTTTCAGAATGCTCCTTCGACTGTGTAATGTTCGAAAGTGCACAAGAAGTTGTAGATTACAAAAGCTGGCATGTTTGCCTAATAGCAAACGCTCTTTTTTTAGCACAAAGTTTACAGCAGGCTTTTTTTGAGGGGTTGTTACCCTAGATGAACTCTTACTTCGCAAGTTTAGGTTAATTCTGTCAAAACAACACCAAACCCATTAAAAAACTGTGTTGGTCAAATTTCCGTCCTCCTTTTAAAACGCTGACTGAGCTGCCTTTTTTTCAGGGAAGGCTATGGCGACACGGGATGTACCAGAGCCGCAAGAGCTACCACTTCCAGCAGGACCTTGGACCAAGCAGCTGAAGGACTTTCCTTCCGCATTCTCGGAAAGCCACATCCAAGGGCATGGCCAAGCAGCTGGAGCACAGAAGCACACAAGTTCTGGCTACAAAATGTTCAAGGCCCACAAAGTGCAGAACATCTTCCTCCACACCACAAGTGCATCAGAGACAATTGTCAAGGCTAACGTGGAGGCTTCCATGACCCTTACGAAGCGATACGCAGTGCATGCTGTGCTCTGCCAAGATGGGCAGGTCAGCAAGGCTTCCTGTTCCTGCAAGGCTGGACAAGGCGGTGTGTGCAAGCATGTGGCAGCACTGCTTTGGCACATGCTAGACCTGATAAGGGAGGGAAGGTCCTACATCCCGGATGCTCTGGCCTGCACTGAGGGAGCAAGGCAGTGGGGCCCATCTTCAAAGAGAGGTGCAAGTACGGTGTCGTTCAACGAACTAGAATTCGTCAAGCACGACTCTAGCAACAAGGCGAAGAGTGCGAGAAAAACCACGGAAGTGCATGTGGACGTGGCGCAGGCAACCGTCAAGAGGCTGCATACAGATTTCATTGAGAAGGGAATATTCCCAATGTTTGCGGACGTGATGGAAGAAGCTGCCTTCACACCCTTGCCAAGGAAGGTTCAGGAGCACTCGAACACGGATGATGGGGCCTCTGCAGCACGGATCAGCTTGCCCATAAAAGAGTGCTGGAATCACCAGATGCCACCAAGCGATCCATGCACCCTGACTCTTACACAAGCTCAGCACCTGGAGGAACAGACACGTGGCCAAAGCAGAAGTATGCTGTGGCACACGGAACGTGAGAAAAGGATCACGGCATCACAGTTCGGAGACATCGTCAAACGACAAGCACCCGTGAACGAAAAGTTTCTCAGGACGATTTTCTCGGGCGGACATGGCACGACACGTCACATGAGGGCGGGACTTCAGAATGAGGCGGCTGCTCTGAAGCGCTACAAGGCCAAGCAAAAGGTCCAAGTCTTCAGTGTTGGCCTTTGCATCAACCCTGGCCTTCCCATGCTGGGGGCATCACCAGACGGGCTGGTCTGGGACGAAGATATACAGGAGTACGGACTAGTCGAAGTGAAGACCGTGTCACGGGCGATAGATGCGAACCTGACGACCTTCGAGGAGGTGATGAGCAGAGGGTTTGTGGAGTTTATCCATGCGGACAAGAGTGTCGACAAAAAGCACAAGCACTACTACCAGGTGACAGGACAACTTGCGCTCACAGGACTGGAGTGGTGTGACCTTGTTGTTGACTGGGCGAAAGACTGCTGGGTCACACGGGTGCCCTTTGATGAGGCACTCTGGGTGAACGTTATGGTGCCACGCCTGACAGACTTTTTTTTTAAATATCGGAAAGACTGAGTGTTGATCATAAAATTGTAGTGTCTGTTGTGGGCGGTTCTAGTGCCAAGTTTGGACACTTTTGGTAATCGGGTTGCAAACACTGCCCGCGTGGGTGGGCGGCTCCGTACGTCAGCCTGCTGGTTTCGACTTCGACAACACCGGTTCTTGGCCTACCCGGTTTACGCAACTCGAGGAGTACGCTTATGCCTCCGTACTTCGCCAAGCACCACCGGACATTCAGGTGCGGACACTTCTCTACTGCATGGGCCCCGAGGCTCGGGTCCTTCTCGACATGTTCGGCTTGAACGCCGCCTCCCTGAACAACTACAACACGGTGGTCAAGCGCTTCTCGGAACACTTCCTGTACCCCGTCAACGAGGTGTAAGAGTCCTCGAGGTTCCACGAGCGGGTTCAGCAGCCGGGAGAGAGCGTCGACAGTTACTACGCCGAGCTCTGCAAGCTTGTCAAGTGGTGCAACTACCCGTCCCCCAAAGTCGAAGAACGCCTGGTTCGCGACCGGTTCGTTGTTGGTCTTTGCGACGAACGCCTGTCCGGCCAGCTCTGCTGGAAAGCCAAGCTCAGCCTCAAGGACGCGTGGACGCAGGTGAGGCAGATCGAAGACGCCGAAAAAGAAAAAAACTGCTCGCGGGAGTCGAGAGTGTCCAGGTCACCGTCAACGTTGACGCCACCAAGTCTTGTCATGGTCCGACGCACCAACGCAAGACAACAAAACGGTCAGACGACGCATCAGCAGTGTCTTCACTTGGCGATAACGACCCAGGTTCCTGCAGCTACTGCAGTCGGGCCCCCCACACACGCTCAGACTGTCCTGCTCGGCAGTCTCTGTGCAATTATTGCAAGAAGAAGGGCCACTTCGCGGACGTCTGTTGCGCTCGGAAACGAAAGCAGAGCAAGGTGGCGTTCCTTACCGCTCCACGCAATCCTCGAGACTGAGAAGGCCAAGGCCAAGTACGTTGAGGTCAATGTCGACAACTACACGGCGATATTCAAGGTAGATTCCGGCGCGGAGGCGTCTGCTGTTTCGGAAGCCTTCCCGAACTTACCTCATCATCTGGACAAGGTCGACGACCTGCTGACAGCACCAGGAGACCAGTCGCTAAAAGTCATTGGGTACTTCATGGCTACCCTCCTGTGGCGAGGCAAGACCGGTCATCAGCGTCTGTACGTGATCAAGTCCCTCTCTATGCCCCTGCTCGGGTTCCCAGCCATCCAGGCTCTGGGTGTGGTAAAGTTCTTGGACGACATGAAAGTGCCGGCACCGCAGGGACTTTTCAGAGGTCTCGGCACGCTCAAGGAGGAGTACAAGATTCGGCTACGCCCGGATGCGGTTCCGTTTTCACTTAGTGTTCCATGCCGCATACCGATACCCCTGCGCGAGGTGGTGCAAACAGAACTGGCCAAACTGGAGCAAGACGGAGCCATTCGGCGTGTCACCAACCCCACACCTCGGGACGCTGGACTGTTCATGGTTCCAAAGTCGTCGGGAGGTTACCGTGTCTGTATCGACTTTACAAAATTAAATCAAGTTGTCCCGAGAGAACGTCATGTGCTCCCCACCGTCGATCAAGTCCTGGGACTTCTGGGCGATGCGGCAGTCTTCTCGAAGCTCAAAGTTACCTCAAGCTTCCATCAGGTCAAGCTTTCCAAGGACTCTCAAGAGCTTACGATGTTCATTACGCCGTATGGGCGTTATTGCTTTTGCCGACTCCCATTTGGCATCACGTCGGCCCCTGAGTTTTTCCAGCGACAGGTGGCGTGGATCTTGGAAGTCCTAGACGGATTGGTCAACATGGTCGACGACATCGTAGTCTTCGGCAGAACGAAAAAGGAACATGACCAACGCCTGCGGCAGGTGCTGTTGTGTCTCTCCGAGGCCGGCGTCACCCCTAGCTTCCGTCGACGGTTCGGCCTCAGGTGGACCTGTCTACTCGCGTCATCGTGATGTGCCTCGTCCAGCATCACCACCACGTGTTCGTGGTGATGGTACGGGCCGACACTACTCAACCCATTCTGGAAGACAAGTGGTCGCTCCCAAGAGACTCAATCTGTAAAACTTTGTTTTTTTTCACAGCCAAGGTGTCCGATACTCTCCTTGAACATTCTAAAGGGGGGATTTTGCGGGCGGTGCTAGTGCCAAGTTTGGACACTTTCGGTAATCGGGTTGCAAACACTGTGCCCACGTCTTGTGTAAAAAGCCATTGCCTCGTGTGATAAAGGTGCCTTTTGGTTCCTAGCTCTGGACGCTCAGTTGGTTGCTTGCCGTCGCTGGTGGGCTGTGCAGTTTCACCGCCGGCCACAGCCCGGCACGGCAGTGTCACAAAGGAATCAACCTCATTTTTAATGCCAAAGACTTGGAGAACATATAATAAACCAACTTTTGTGAACTGAAAGTGGCTGTCATGACAAGTAGTTGGAATGCCTCAGACTGCTCATGTCGGCACAAGAATTTGTTGCAAACTGTAGCGCGTACCTCTGTCCGATATAGTAGTCGCAATATTTGTGTACTGAAAATAGAGTTTGTGCACTGTGCATGCTAAATTTCATACACTTTTCCATTGTTTACAAACCCACGCCCCAGCGTGTAATCTTCACAGCCTAGCATGCGCGTGGTCGTCAGTTGTGAAACCGTCCAAAGCACGCGCCATACACACAAACACTAAAGATGGTATGAGAGCGTGTGACACCTAAAGAGGGCATGATCCTCTTCTGCATTATGCGCGAAAGTTCCAACAACGACCATGTGCTGTGGCTACCAACGCCGCTTCCGGCGGCCCACCTGGGAGCAAAATTGGTTTACGGTAGTGTCGTTACTGATTTCAGCGCTATTGATGGTGAAATTTTGGTTGCACGTCAAGGTCCCCACATGTTCTTCCTCTGGGGTGACAGACATCTTCCTTTGGTTTAATCTGTAAACCCTCTAATCTTCATTTGCTGGGGCATATTGACGGAGAATTTTAGTAATTCGCACAATTTACAATGCAACAGCTTGTTTTCAACATCTTGAATTTTTGCCTGTGGCACACGCAATGGCATCTCAGTTAAAGCCCCTTCATGTTTTAAAAGTAGCGCAAAGTGCGTCGATGCACGAGGCACGTGCAACATGCAGCCCTTGGGAAGATCATGGCGACACAGCGCAGCACTGAGCTAGATTTCAGACGCCATGTCCTTCCCAGAAGTGGCACACGGTACGTGTCTCGAGAATTTCCACAACAATGAATGGCGCCACTTTTCCCAGGATAGAGGGGCTTTAATCTCAGTCTGCCTGTTGCCCCACCAAACAGTTCTGCTAGGAGTCGACTGTGGCCCCACCATTACGTCTATTTTTCTTTATTAACCACTACATTTCCGCCCTTTTTAGAGGATATGTGTGTATTAAAATAAAACATCCAAAAGTCTTGAAATTAATTTAATCAGTCATAGTTAAAAATTAAGAATAATCAAATGCTCGCTACTCTGTCGTGTAGTGTGCAACCAATCTAAAATTAAAACCTGGCAAGTTTGGACAACATTTTATTGCGTTGAGTACTTCTGACAGGAATCCTAACGTCCTTGATTTCTTTCATCATGACCATCTACCTTTGCTTTGAAACATTTATTTAACGACCAAAGAAGTGGCCACCATATCTGCCCTGCTGTTTGGGCATAAAAAGAGGAAAAGCTTTTAATCTTCTCGGGAGCTTCCAGGGCGAATGAGACAAGTGGCAGCGATCAGGGACTCCTGGGGCTTCAGTAGTCTGGAGTCACCTGGTTGATCTCGGCGAGTATGGTTTCCTTGAGTGCCGTAGGGAGGTTCTGAAGTTGCCCGACTGTGACGTTGTTGGGGGCCAGGTGCACTGCGAGTGGAGGGTGAACGGGCAATCCATCCCAAGAGCTTGGTGACAGGGTGAACACAAGTGTAGCATCCAGAGTCATGTTGCGCTGGTTGCGGAAAAAAGACGTCCGAGGCCCGTTCAGCTAGCTCCTCGGGAGAGACACCTTTGCGAAGGGCAACAGTGGCAGCAAATTGCCTAGGTTTGTGGTCCCCGAGGAGAGAACGGAGGAGCCTTCAAACTTTCGAAAGATGGCTATTGCCGGAGATGGATCTGCACAGGGAAGTCCAGCAGTTGGAAGCGAGTTCCGAAGTGTAGCACGAGATAGTCTTTTGGAGTTTATGTGAAGGTTTGAGGAGTCGTCGTGGTCTGCGAGAACGGCGGTAACAGGCCAACAGGTGAATGCGGCGGTCCAGTAAGTAAATGCTCGTCAAAGCGGCATCGTCCGGTACGGTTAGCCGCTTTGTGGCAGACTTGTGGGCGGACTGGATAGCTTGTATAATGTCGGAAAAGCCAGCAAGTTCCATGACAGAAGAAAGAGCTGCTCGGAAGTTGTCCCACTTAGTGAAGAATGTGTCGCAGCAGGCGCGACAGTGAGATAGGGTTGCGGATAGGAAGTCGTAGCGTAAAATAATGGGGAGGTGATCACCGCCGAGGCGGTCGCCGGCGACATGCCATCTCCAGCGTCGAGGGTAACGAGCACAGGTAAAGTCGGGGCAGGTGTCCTGCTGTTGGGAGGATTGTTTGATACGTGTGGGGGTGTCTGGGATGTTGAGGAACGAAAGTTTCAGCCCTGTGAGGTCTGCAAGAAGCCGCGTGCCGTGGGGAAGGTCAATGTCGTAGCCCCATGCGTGTGTTTGGCATTAAGATCACCGCAAACGGGAACGTCGTCTTTTGGATAAAGACGGGCGAAGTGCTTAAAAAAAGGGATGTTTAGCGGCTGCCTTGTCCAGCGGTTTAGCGATGTGTCTGGAGCCACATAGACAGAGAAGAGAAAAACGGGCCGTTGAGGAATTGGCGGCAACCCGTAACGCTGGTCATTGCAGAGCACCTCTGTGAGGTGTCGAGAAGAGTGAAGCACACTGATCGATGAACGTACAGGGCGGAACGAATCCAAGGCAAGGGGGCACTAGTCTCAATGTTCGGAGCAAGTCCATCGTACTGTGGCAAAGAAGGGAGGGGGCCGTTGATTTCTTGTAGAGCAAACGCAGCGGCCATGTCGGATGACGAGTGAAGATAAAATTTTTCGATGAAGTCTGCCTTCTTCTGTTTAAGCGAGCAACAGTTCCACTGAACAATCCTGGGGGCGCTAACCATGTTTGCGTGGTGATAGTGGGGGGCCGCCGAACGGAATGATGCCCTGCATCGCGAGGCGCCCGATTACTGCACGGGTGCAGGTATCCACGAGAGTAAACAGCGAGTTTTGCATCGTCGGAATTCGCTGCGTGGCTGCCAGCATTTGTTTTGTGAAAAGGGTGATTTGTTGTTGCAAGCCAGTAAAGTCTGACCCTGACGGAAGTAGGGCAGGCGTCTCACTAGTGCTGTTGACAGCTCTCGCTGATTCTGCGAAGGTGGTCCGAGGCGGTTCTGATGTTGGGACTTGTGTGAGGTCGGCGGTGATGTTGTGTGCCGGCGTTAGGAGTTTTGTGGCGAGCACCGGGCGGGAGTCAGTCTTCTGCTTCGCAGACCTCGGTGCTGCGATGAGGGCTTTGGGCGCAGATAACAGCACAGCTTGCTGAGCAGGAGCTAGTTTCAGGCGTCACTGGTGGTGACGCCGGCTTCTCTTTGGATGTTGATGAAGGCAACTGA